TATTAAAATATCTATTTTTACCATAGATGTAGTAGTCATAGGTACGTACATATTATATGTGTGAGCATTGTGCCATCATGATTATCCAATATGGCGGCGTCAACATGGCAAAAGATATATAGATTGTACTACAAAAATGAGTTTTTTCGCAGTTCTTGCCATTGTATTGTATCGAAATTTATCCAATCAAAGTTTATATAAAAAAGGAACATACGGCGTATCATGCGTATCATGCGTTTACTCATATTCACAATAAGCTTTTTCAACATAAGCTTTTTCAACTTAAATGGTGTATCATGCTCTTAAAACAGAACATTCAGACAATTTTACTGGTTCATTGGTTTGCATCGATTTTACAATAAACACCAGACAAGTCCGCTGGATTATACTCATTTAAATGTCTACACAATGATAGATGATTCCTCAAGTATGGAGTGCAATTGCTATGATTCTTTCCATCACTACACCCCAGCCGCCTTAAGAATGTTGGCTATATTAAATGACTCTATTCCAGAGGCCAGATTTCAACATATCATCATATTTCTGGCAACAAAACACTGGAATTGACCAAGTGACCACTTTAAATAAACTGTTATCGGTGTATAATTTCAATAGTTTTTATTGAATTCACTCAAATACATGCTTAAAACAATTGCTGTATATTCCTCTTTTTTAAACTTTGATTGGATAAATTTCGAAACAATACTTCGGTAAGAACTGCAAAAAACTTCGTTTTTGTAATACAATTGATATATCTTTTGTCCTGTTGACGCCACCATAATGGATTACTTATGATGGCCCCAGCTATTATGCATGCATCATCAATCTATGACTAATTGACTATTATATCTATGATTTTTGCCAATGACTTTTACGCAAATGACAGCTGGCCAAAAAAACAGAGATGCTCACTTTATATGTTCATAATTGCAGTTTAAATACAAATTGCCTTTAAAGTACTTGCACTGACTTTTCCTTTGCATGCATATTTAATCAGTTTGTATCAGTTTCTTTTTTTTTCGATGAAACAACAGCAACACAAACCTCTCAATAACGTCCATAGATTGGTTCGTGATGTTTTCATCTGACAATGTAATTGTTGGATTCAATAATAAGTTGAGGATGAATTAATTTCCACGCACCAATGCAGTTTTCTGTTAATGAATGGAATAATAGCTGGCTTAAAGATCTATCAGCGCTAGGAAAGGTTCCTATGTCGTATACTGGGACATTTTTGAATTTTCTTTTCCGAGCAATAAATTATTCAAAGTTTGTCAAAATCGATAACATTCTCCAGTGAATCTATATTGAATACAAGATACGATATTCCTTGGAATATCAACTTTATTTGTTGTCTCAAGCTGTTTCGGGAAGTAGAAGAGAAAGTCGGTGGTAATGTATTCTTCAAATCTTCATAAAGGTATTGGCGGAAGCATTTTTTCGATAGCAGAACTATAAACCACCTTGTGACATGCAGTACAAAGTATATAATTAAATCCATTTGTTTTTAAATGACGTGTCATGCTCTATGATATTGTCGTGTTGAACAAGCACTTTGATTAGTCTGCTTTGTGGCATGTTCATAGCTGCTCGATAAAGATAGTTGCATAGGTTGGTTTTTGTGGTTAGTCACTCTTTGAAGTATCTCTCACTTTGCTGGCAAATTATGAACGCGAAACCAAAAAGCAGTCAATCTCTAACAAAGGAGTTTTGGTCTTATTTTTCAAATAGATTTCTTAGTGTGTTTGTTGTTCAGTTATTTTTCTGCATCAGATCTGTGATTGCATGGTTGGTAGAGGTGTCAATAGATTGAGTGACATTTGAATGTCCACAGAAAAGGACATTAGCAACGAATTCTTTGTAACAAATAGTTTACATTGCTACATGACAACATATTTTATTAAAATGACCTCTGTCAACTAGTGAAAGTTTAACTCTGTAATATATCAAAACTATTCGGTTGAACAATAGCAAAATTATAATGAAATTTCTACTTTGCAGAGACCCATACATTGTAAATATAGTCAATTGGAATTTACAAAACAGCCTTTCAGCTGCTAGAAGAAATAACTAATTTATTCTCCCACACAAACAATTTTAAAATTTAAATATTAAAGCAGCAGGTAAAATCTTTCTATTATGCTGCGTAAATGCAAGAAAAAATATTATAAGGCATCATGCATAGAGAATTTTCTAAAGTATTTTTGGATGTATGTTAAAGCATAAAAGATGAATAAATTGGGTTCATTGATACCTGACGAAGCAAAATTTATTAGAAACATGATGAATAAAGTACAATCTCTAAAAAGGCGTGTTAGAGCCACATCTACGTCCTATGACTTCTCTAACTGGCTTCTCAAACCTAAAAATTCACAACTCTTGTTGACGTTGCGTGACTCAAAGAAGAGAATGAACAATATTATATGCGTGTCTTCGTGAGAATTTCAATGCAAATTTAAAGCACGCTAATAAAATTACGTCAATGAAATTAAGCTATTGAATAATTTAAACGTTAAAAAGAATTTTTTTAAGAGGTGTTTATACTTTTTTGCAATCAGTATTAAATATTCCCTGTCACTCAATCTGCAGTTAATAGAAAAGGGGTAAAATACATTATAATGAACTATAAAAATTGAACAAAAGTTGCTTATAGACAATATTCTTTTTTTTAATTTATAGTATCTTATCTATGAGCGGAAACTAACATCTGCAGTGCACATTTTTCTTTTAGTTTATAGAGATACTTGAAATAGTTGACCAATTTCAATAACGTCAAAATAAACATATTTTTTCCCGGGGTGTTGTTATAACGAATTAAATAATTTGGTCTGTTATTTTCAATGTAAATGGTATTTCTTCGAATTGTTGAAACAATATTTTTGCTGTATATTTTTTCTTACACTAAATTTCTGCAATTACGGCTCTTTATCCAAAATATAATTAAAAGTCATCAAAATTTGTGTCCCCGTCCACAGAAAAGTACTTGTCTTGTGTTGATATCAAAATTCAAAAAGCCAATATTACTAGCACTTTAGGACAAGACAGTTTCTACTTCAGTTACATTTTTCTAAGCTGCTGTTTGAGAAGAATAGAAAATAACTCGTCAGAATTCAACATAGAAATTTCATTGATAGCCAAATTGCCTCTTCAATGGTAAGCAAAGAAAACATAAAGAAAACCTAAAATTCAGCGCTTATCACATAATTTAAGAACAATAGCTCTAATGAATTTAACTTCCTCATCAAGACCATATATTTCATTTATCATAGGGATTCATAGTCATGCTTATACGTAAATCAACGGATAATCTAACACAATCGTTATCTTATAAAATACTTAAAGCATTATGAAACATTTTTGTATGTTTTTTTTAAACATTTTTTGTAGTTTGGAGTAGTGCAGCTAATTATCATATATATATAGCTACCATTTGGTAATTTGACTATTCTAAAATTATTTAAAAATCTTTTACCATTTTGCAAATCTTGTTATCATTTTATGTCTATCCTTATGATGGAAACAAAAACGAATCGATTGATCACAACTAAAGATAAAATTCTACTTATTTATATTTATGAATGTCTGGAAATATATTATATCATATTTCTAATGATACGCCAAAGAAAATAGTAGCTACATCAACAATATTTGAAGCAACCATCATTAAGTATTTTTTTCTAAATAGAGATAACAATAAAATGTTTTTTAACTATCATAGACATTTAAGAATAGTAAAATATTTGTAAACTGTTTTACGTTTTTACATGAGAATGATAGTAAACTAAAACTTGAATGCATGTGTGATAAAGAATATTTGATTGGACATTAAAACTAAGCTTTAGGATTGAGGGAAATGATAAAGAAAGAGAGGTACATAGTTCAACAAATTGAAATGGGGCAAATCATCATCAAACATCAATACAGAAGTCATTTTAAAAAGCAAGGAATGCATGTAGAACAAATGATACATTTTTCGTCTTTTGTTTCTTCTGCTACAATTATTCAATATTGCAAGAATATTTTTGGCAAATGGCAAATGCCATTTAATTGTCTAAAACAAAATATTTGAAGAAGTAAGAATTTTTAGCTTTTAGATTTTCTTTACTTTAGCAGTTCTGTCAAAATACTCATAAATTTCATTCAATTCAGAATTTATATAATTATGAGAGTCGTACTTCTCTATACGACTGACAGATGTTGTAAAGCAGAATATCATGTATTGCTTAATGGCCTCCATTTCTGTAACTAGACGACATGTAGTTACAGAGAGGCCAGCGAGTCTGTTAAACACTGCAACACAAATTATTTGGCATTTAATTTTGCTGGCTTAGTTAAGCAATACGTCTTTCCCATTCATCTGGTAAACTGAGTTAACATGAGCAAATTTGAATTCAATCCATTTTAAATTTTTTCTAAACCGCTCTTGGTGAATTTCATATATTGCGTCATTTCCTTATAGTGGACATTGAAATGTTTTATTTATTTCTATGCTTTCGTTTCCTAGAAACCTTACATCTATTTATTCAAAACACGTTCTAGGCGGGTGAACTCTACTTATATGTATTGTTGTAAACACGAGTCTTTATAATGAACAATTTGTCTAATCTATTGCAACAATATCCAATCATCATAAATTATCTGAAAACAAACGTGAAAATACTTTTTGGAGAAGGAAGTTAAAATGTTACATAATTATAGAAATCAATACTTGATTTATATACCAAAAAAAGTTTAAGAACAAATGATTATATGATTATATTGATGATAAGCCTTTCATAAATAAAGTAAATGTTTTACTACAAAAGCTTTAAAGAAATTAGTAATCGTTCACCTTCTAATAAATAGAAAATAAAGATGATATCAAGCTCAACAAAAGCGTTTCTTGGGACTCTCATAATCCTGTCTATTAGTGGCCAAATAGTAAATGGTAATGACGACATATCAATCTGCAAGAAAAGCTTAGAGACATTAAAAGACAACGTGAAAGAATGGATGGAAACTTGCGTTGATAAAATGGCAATGACGATAACACAACTGCATGCAAGGAAGTAAAACAATACAACAAAGAAATGATGCAAATGCAAACAGAAATGTGTTTTTACAAAGGTATAATCTTTAGATTTGACAAATTTTCATAGTTTCTTGTTCATAGCACCAAAAACAATATTCAACAAAATAGGTAGAAGTTGTGCAGCCAATCTAATTTCAGTTATTAGTAATATTTCTACAGTGAAAAATTCTTTCTAAAAATACTTATTCTGGTCTTTCACAAAATATTATGATCGTAAAGTCTATAAAAATTTGCATTTTTTCAATCCACTCTCATCGTTGTTATTTATAGTTTTTTTATTATTTATTTAGATGTTTATCCAAAGCCATATTTGATTATTATGAGCTTTGATAAAATATACTCTGTTGATTCTATTACTGGAGATATTCATGTCAGCACTATTAATGGCTCCAGTAAGAATAAATCTGACCATGCATCAAGATATAATGACATAGAAATTGATGTAGTTGAGAATGTGCTTTACTACATTGATGACAAAGACATCAAACGGGGAAATCTTGACTTGACTAGAAACGAAATTTTTGCGAAAAATGTTTTGTTCATGATATTACAGTTGACTGGATTGGTCGTCGTATCTTTTACATTGACTCCACGAACATTATCTACCAAATTTATTTGAAAATTACAAGTGTTATGAGGCTTCAACCAGGCTTACAATTTTCCAGCATTGCATTTGACTCAAAACATGGGTAAGGCGATATTGAAATTCTTTTTATTTACTTGTAAGCGTAAAATTAATAAACTATGTCAATCTATTGGAGGGTTTTCTTAAGTAAGGTAAGAGTTTTTGTTTTTAGAGATGGTGTTTTAATTTAATAGAAAAGTTGAATTTTATAAGTCCGTATTATGGTTTGTTATTTAAAGGTTTAATAATAGAAAAAAATATCGATTTTCTAGGGAAATCAAAACTCGCTTTTTCCCGAGGGAGCGAATATTAAGTATTTTGTTGGCTATAAAGAAACAAACGTCATATAGTTCGACAGATTTTTATTAAAATCAACGTCTTTCGGAGAGATTTGGCCAGCAAAATTTTATTGCGTGACTATAAGGCATTTCAAACCAACTGCAATAATGAACACGTTTCGTGTGATTATTCAGCACACATGCAGTAGAAAATAACATGCAGATCCTGAAATTTCAAAAATCGACAGCGATATTTATGTTGAGCAACCAAAGAGCTTTGAGAAAAAGGTAACAACGGAGGGATCAATGTTTATATATGATGAAGTCATTAAACAAAATAAAACAGAGCGGTAGAAACTGAAATAAAATATTAAATAATTACTTTGCACATAAAACTTTAGTCAAATACTCACAGAACCTTGGCTTTCCACAACCTACAAAAAAGTAGTACAACTTCACTGTGCAACTTAGTGTTGTACATTTAATTCCATTACTGGCTTGGCTAGCCACCTAAGAGCGCTTTTCTTTGTCAGAAAAGCAATTTGCTTGACGCCTCCATGGTAATCATATGCTTAATAAGATATGCCCTACACAAAGATTTCAACAAATTGGGAGCATTGTTTGTTGCTATACTGTGCTCTTTTGTATACTTTTTTGAGGCAGTGTAAGAGATGTGCAACAATCTCAATACGGAATGGCAATAAAGTTTTAAAATATTCACGAATGTGGTGAACGTAAAAAACTTCAACTTTTCGTTTTGTAATGAAGATAAAAGAACTACACACATTCCAACGTAGTTACATGAAAAATATAAAAATGGATTTTAGTTTTCAAAAATGTGGCAATTTAAAAACATAATCAATATATCAAGTTTATAGTTTTTCACGCCTTCTTTTAACTTGCATTGAATGGCAGAGTATATTGAAAAGTCGAGAGCTGCAAATTAAGTGGCTGCACACTTCCCTTTAATAAATCCAATCACACATCCAATCAAATCACCTGAATGGAAAATCATTCCACGACCTTTAGTTCATGCAGTGTTTCTTAGTGTAGCTTAGGCAAACGTTAGGTCTGTAGCTGCTCCACTGATGATGAATCTGAAGATAATAATCATGTGATTAAAAGAAATTGGCTTAAAAGCCTTGTGGAGCGAGAACTTTCTGAATATGTTATAAATAATTTACGACTTTAAAATAATTTCCTCTAACGATTCCTATGAACTCTCCATTCATGAGAGCCTTCTAATCAATAAATACAAGCCTTCACTCTTCGTGCAAGGAGGTTCCATTCCACTTAACCTCTCTTAACTTCACTAAATTTTACTTCCCAACTTCTTTATCATGTAATCCATTTGACACCGCCTCCTTTAGTCGTAATTTAACACCTTTTGTAAATACAATATCTTGTCTTAAAATCTCATTATAAATTATTACTTGCCTGAATATGTCTTGAGTAAGGACGAAACGTCAGTATAAATTCAATTTTACAGCTTTTGGTCTATTTCTATAGCTCTAATTAAAACTTTATGTTAGGCATTAATTGTTATCATATTACAAGAAAAATTAAGTTTCACGAACACAAAAGCCAAAAGAACGGTAATATATACGAGAAAGTTTTAAAGAGTTCGGGGCAAGGTGCAATGAACGACAAGAAGACATGGACTTTGCTGTTACTCAAATGCGTAATATATTTAAGAAATGTATTGGAGAATGCAAATATGCTGCGATGATACTCAAATCTTCCAGATGCATCAAACATTTTTGATAAAGGAAAAGACATATTGTTTAAGCAGTTTTTGCAGCCTGCTCAATCCAAAGATTCTTTGAAACACGAACATGACAAGGCGATAGAATTATCATTTTCAAATGATAGCAATAGCGCTAGCTCCAGTGTCCACGTTTTTTTGATTATTCAGAAAAACAATGAAAAAATTTGACAATTACAAAGAGAAGGTTAAGATAGTTTTAAAAAATTGTTTGTCCAAACAAACTGAAAAAAAATTATCAACAAAAGACAATTTTTTTGAAGCTATAGCTCTTTTAAAGACATTTGTGGACGATGATCCATCCAAGGAGCTGCTGCTTTTCATGCAAGATGAAACTGAAATTAAGAAAGCTTAAAATTGAAATGACAAAGCTTTCTTAATTTTATATCATTAAATGGTGCATATCATTTAGCAGCACCAAATTTTCAATTCGAAGTAAACTTCCACGCATCAGCTAATTTTCAGCATTATCAATTACCAACACAATTCATTCAGCAGCCACTCCAAACTACAACATTACTCATTCCAACAATAATCTCAAACAATACCAATCATTATAGAAGTTATGTGAATAAAATTAACATATTACATTTATTATTATGCTCTGAATAACATGCAGTGTTTAATTACTTCATATATTTTAGTTCTGTTTTTAAAAGAGAGATTTTAAATGATAAAGATGATCTTTTCCTGTTAGTTACAATAGCTTTATGTTGCTATATTATCAAATTTTATGATTATGTTCCATTAAACGGTCTATATATGAAGGTAGTTCTGAATACTTTGACAACATCTTTGTCTAAACTAAAAAATATTCTATCTTTCCTTTCTTGCATCTATTAGCTTGCCAATTGTTTATGTATTTCAGTACGTATAGAGAAAACTAATGTACAAATATTTTTATTAAGGTATCTATTCTTGGCAGAAAGTACAAAACGTTTCTTATGGTTATGGAGCATGACTGCAAATAAACATCATATTTTTTCCGTTTCACTTCAGTCAATAGCACTTGATCTAACGCTTGACATGGCTAAAGAGAAGATTTATTGGCGAGTTTCAAACGGAAACATTTTTTCTTGTGATTACAACTCCCATAATGTAATTGATTTTGGAACTTCACGAGGTCCCATGGCAGTATTTGGGGAATTCATTTATATCATGACTAGTGTTGGACAAAGTGTCGTTAGCGTCCATAACACAACAGATCAACGTACGAGACGTAAATATTTTCTTCCTTTAAACAACACTTATCTTGATTTGGCTGTAGCAAAACACAGTACCACTCCTGATTCAAACGGTAGGTAAATATTTACCTTTTTGACATAATAATCTAAGACTTGCAAAAACTCCCACGCTAATGTTCATAAAATAGAAAGACGTTAAAAAGTTCAAAGTTACATTGCTTTAGTAAACGGTTGTTCTTCCTTCCAAAATTATAGAAAACTTGATGAACATTAAGTTTAAAGTGCAAAGTGCGTAATTTGGACATTTTTGGCGTTTGTCTATTCTTATCAAACTTCTAGCGTGGTAATTTAAGTCTTTATTGTTTCTTACATCATTTAAACAATCACTTAGGCTTGAAATCAGTCTTAAAAAAAAACAAACATGAAAATAGATTGAAAGACAAAAACGTCCAAATTAAGCATGTTGTGCAGTGAGCTTAAGGTTTATCAAATTTCTTAAAATTTCAGTATATTGCAAAACAGAGTTTGAACTTTTACATTTATAGATAAAACTAGATTTGAAACTTTTCATTTTTTTGTGCATGCTGTTCAAATTGAGGCGATTACGAACTACTCTCAAGGTTTTCGTGATTAATTTTTTATTCATTTTACTTTAAAGCCATGCCAAAATACATGAGCTTTGACACATTTTGTGAGAGCTACTGATGAATTGATAATTTTCTGAACATTTTTAAATTATCTAACTTCTTTAGTATATCTCTTATAGTGTCCCAAACAGCCAGCAAATTTGTTCATACTCTGTAAATTTTCAACATTTATTTAATTGTTTTGTTTTTACGAAATGCGCGAACACCAAAATTACCAACATTGCATAACAAACTTGCTTGCTGGGTACGTTATTGTGGATACTGAGTGACAAATTGCGTTCTTTGAGGAAGAATATGTTTCGTTTGAAATCCCTGTTTGATTTCATTTTTAATTTTATTTATCAATATAGCGACAAGCACTTTTAACTTTCCTTTGTGTGGACCCAACACATACTATCGTAAAATTAATGGAACATTGAACTGCACGTGTATGGAAGGATACTCAGGAGAATGTAACTCGTGCCAAGGTATGGATTTATTACTATCTTTATCAAGATTTTTTATCACCGATCATGAGTAAAGAGCATCTCTGTGCAGTTTTAAAACTTTGTTCTTTGTTGAGAATCCTGACTGTTCTCTATGCTGTTGCTTCTGTGCAAGGAATTTGCTGCATCTACATTTTACATGTAACCACAAAAATAAGGCTCACAGCACCACATACAAGTTCATAAACCATTATCAATACAATCAAGCAGGAAATCAGTAATAAATTTATGAAAAGCTTCAATACACTTAAAACTTCCCCAGCACACAACATTGAAAGTGTATGGTTCTCTTAATGACAATATCATATGCTAGCATTTACACATTTTGAGTTTCTCTATATTAAGGATGGGTTAGGGTTAGGGTAAGGATTAAAGTTAGGTTAACACTCCTCCTGAAGTTAGTAATCTAGCTATGGCCCTGCTAACCTAGATACACCATATTAGACAGTCTTGAGTTTATTATTGGTTGGCTTTCGTAAACTAAGAATTCTGTAAATCCAAACTTAAAAAGCATTTTGACAGACATGCTTCCAGAAATCCTAGAATGATTGCACCTCAATAATATTACATCAAACTTCTTCAACCAATGGATTGTATCTTTATAAACTCTTTCCAAGAACAGACAAATATGGTCGTTGTCCGATTACTCAGTAGGCTATGTAGGCTGAATCTTACATTCTCGCGTTTTTAAAAGTCGATTTTCCTTTAAACATAGTTTTTACTCTTTTCCATTCTAGATGAGATAAATGCTCAAAATTCCAATAATATATCCTGTTGGAAACTGTACGATATACTATTATAATGCTCTATATATAGAACTCATAAAGTAGTGAGTTTATCTCGTTCGAAATTTAAATTTATTCCATAATGTTTAAACCATGAGTAACAAAACTGAAGAAAGGAAAGGGCATAAGAAACGGAAATGTCCTGAAAATACTGAATTTTTTGGGAGAAAATTATATCACTTAAAGTCTCACAAAATTTTCTAAGCCTAAAGGCCGCGCAATTATTCATCCGCTGCTTAGTATGGGTGCATGCACTGATAATGTTCATTCATACATATCTTGTTCATTTTCGATGTAAGAAAATTAGGTTTTACTGTTAAGCATTCACTTCCTTTAAAAACCTAAATAAGCAATATTTTTAAGAGGTACAATAAATAATGTCAAAAAGTGTTTGTAAATATTGTGTAATAACGTTTTTTAGTAATTGGCATTAACTTTCTACTGGGTTTATTAAAATTTCAAATGACTTTCTTACTATTCAATTAACGCTATTAGAGTTAGACTGGAATTTTTTATTCAGACATAAAAAAATTTCATGTAAGCACACAATACAATGAAATTGACTTTAATATGGAAAATTAGGAATGTTATTTGAAATGGGCGTAAAAATGAGCTATATTTGACAGCTTACCTCAAGTTCATGCACAATTTTCGTGTTATGATTTCCTTATTTTAGTATTTCTTTCTCGATTACAAATATTATGGAATGAATTAGTTTTTAGTCTAAAACAGACAGTTGATTATGCACAATATAAATACATAACAAATCCACATCAACACTTAACGACTATTGTAACCATCCATTTAAACACAAAGGTTTCTCTTTATCGTTAAAATGTCAAGTGTTAGCCAGACTACATAAGCTTCACAAACAATTTCTTTTATTTCTTTTACAATTTCTATACAATTTTTTTAAGAATTGTATTCTATTATACTTTACTCTGCAACTTGTGGCTACTCTACAAAACCAGCTCAAAGACCCTCCTCATTCCTTAAAAACACTTTACGTATTGAAAGACTTGTTCTAAACAACATCTGTCTGCAAAACACAATCCTGCCTTTTAAGCATTTTAATCAGCTTTTACAGTTTAAAAGTGCATATTAAATATTTTATTCTATTCGTACAAATCATTCTGAAAACAATTACTTGTTATTGTTGTCTTATTTTTTTTTCATTCGTCTCGCAGGCTGTCCTTCTGATTGGTTGCATATAGAATCATCTTGTTATTTCTTCAGTGCAAAAGGAGCAACATGGAATAAAGCAAGAAAACTTTGTCAACAGAAGGAAGGAGATCTTGCTGTTCCAAAAAATAATGTTGAGAATAATGCCATTCAAAACGTCATATTGAGAAAAGGCGCTATAATTATTTTATTGGTTTATATCGCAATAAAAGCGACAATCAGTTTTACACAGTTCAAAATGGCAAGCCCAGTTTCACATCATGGGCTCGGGGAGAACCTGATAATCATAGGGGTGTAGAGGACTGCGTTGTATTTTATCGCGGAGTTGTTAAAGCCCTTTGGTATACCTTTGGATGTGGACTTCCCTTTAACTTCATCTGTCAACGTGAGAGACGTAGTTTAAACTGTGAGTAGCTTCTATAATTATCAATATATTAGGTACTTTACATAAATGTACTATTTTGTAGTAAAATGGGTGCAGTCTTTAGTTATTGTTTTCCTGCCGAAAAATGTTAGAACTAGAGAACTCATTCGACCATGTATGAGATTGTTGAGCATTAAAAGCGAATTCTGAACTTTTTGTGCAACTAAGAGTGATTCAATCAATGGCCCAAGGTCAAATGTTAATGGCTTGAAGACAAATAATTCTCTTATCGCCAAAAATAGTTTAACATATTCAACTAAAATTAATGTGGTACCAAATTTGGCCAATTTGAAAAATTGCAAGTATATCTTGGTTCATACTTAAAGATGTCAATTCAATAAAGAACTGGTATGCAGGGAATGGTCACTTAAATATCAAGTATAGTTGAGAGTTTTGCTTAGTAATAGTTTTGCTTGAGTAAATGTGTCAAAAACGGAACCTTAGAGGAAGCTTCCCCAAACTTAGATAAATTCAAAAGACCTGTTTTTAGCAATAATAAAAATTCCATACCTTCTTAGCCATTCCTATTTACATAACTTCTTTGTCAGTCACGCCCTACTGCTGAGCACATTAGGTCACAAAACATAAATATTCGCACATATATGAAGATTCAACCCCCATCCCCCCTCCAATCAACGTTCTAGTTTTGGACCTGGTCGTAGCCAACCTGCTTGTATTTAGTCTTGTTTTGTTGGTTTTTGTGTGTTGATTTACTTAGAAAACAATAAATTTGAAAATGAACAGTGCTTGATGGATTAATGAATATGGCTTGATTGAAAAAATTTTTTTAAAATTTTACGGCAAGATGCAACGTCTCCAAATACCGCTGCTTTTCATATTAAGATATGCATATCAATGATAACATGCTTAAAACAAATATGATTTTTCCACTTCTGGTAAAAACTTTTTAAAGGATTTATTGCGCGTAAGCCGTCGAGCTTGTTTGGTATAAATGATATGCTTTAATTTCATATAATTTTGTTAGTTGATGCATTTTCTTTTGCAAAGATAATCCAACATCTTGAATTAACAAACTCAAAATTTCCGACACTTGCAACGACAGGATAAGTTAATTAACATGCCCCTGTTGTGTGAATTTTTCCAAAGCTAATCTCATTGCTTCAAATGGCTAAGTTGTTTTTCCCTTTTTTTTAACGATGAAAATAATTCAAAACAGCAACCGTCGTTGGGACACGTCACACTTCATAATTCATAGTCCTATTAGCTATGTAAGAACTAGGTTTGATTTATATCATAAATGCCGCCTTATCAATCCCACTACCAGATTTAACTTTCTTTATGTGTGGTTCTACTTGTAGCCCTTGGTGAGCAATCTTCTATCGTGTACAGTAAATGATCGTTAATTAATGTATTCTGTTAATAGACTCATTCTTGTTGTTAAAATCAAACGTAGTCTGAACGATTTACAAAATATTTGTCTAAACGAATCTAGAAAGTTGTGTTACAATTAAATTACTAATACATACAATCCCAAAAAATCACAGATCTCACTATACTCTCATTTGTTACAGAATTTATTTGACGTTTTAGATGTTGATTTGTTCATATAAAATACATGTATTAAAATTTTAGGACAATTATGTTTTTACATTCTCGTAAAATCAATTAAGAAATATTCAAAAGTAATAAATTAAACAAAAAATTTCATATTTATTTTTTACACATCTTTAAATTAGACATGAAATTGCTTAATTCATGGTACACATTTTCAAACAACTTTATTGTGAAACATTAGATATCGGCGAATGTCAGTCTTCTCCTTGTGGCAAAGATCACTTATGCATAAATATCCCAGGCTCCTACGAATGCCTATGCTCCGCTGGATACAGTCTTGACAAATCCAAAAAGAAATGTATCGGTAAGTTGGTCTTTCTAGATCTTTTAACTTATGTTGCAAGCTTACGTGACTTCATCAAAATTTTTTGAAAACTGCTTGAACTATTAAAATATGGGAAATGCTTGACAAGGTCTGGTGTTTAAATGCACAAATTATTAGCTAACTCAAGAAGGAGTTTCTCGAAAGTCTCTGCTGATTAAGTGAATTAAAAGCTAAATAGATAACAATTAGTGGTTTATGTTACGATAGAGTTGACTTAAGCTTGTTTAAAGTAAGAATTTTATGAGAAACCAGCATAAAGTTGGCATTCACTTAATTAGAATTCAATTTATAAGTAAAGACAGTGAAATGTGGTTCTGATTGGTCAATAGCTGTGTTTTCATTAGTCTGTGCAAAACAGATATGAATTCAACCAATAAATCAATAAAATTGCAAATCGATCATTGATGTATTTTAGGGGTAAAGTTAAAACGTCGGTTTTCAATTTGTCTGTTTCACTTTATTGTTGCTTTATAAAAAAAATAAATGATGTTTTCGTGTTTGCACTGGCTTATGCAATTCTTAGAGACGTTTAGTGAGAACTTTCGAATTCTCGATCAGCTCTCAAGCTCTAACATCAAAAGATCTCCTCGGGTATGCCATAAGCCTGTGCAAATACATTAAACATCTTTTATTTCTTAACTAAGGGCCAGGTCATTGTTTATAATAATCTTAGGTTGTTGGTTTAAAATTTTTCATCTGTCATTTGAGTTAACACATATGGTCAAAAAATTATGTGTAGTGCAAAAGTGCAATTGCTATTTTTCATGTAATCATTGCTGAAAAGGCCAATTAGTTATTTTAAATAACGTTTATCAATCATTCAAAAAGGACAACAGCAAGCACATAAAAAGAAATTAGATTGGCGTAAAAATGAGCTTTATTTGACAGCTTACCTCAAGTTCATGCACATTTTTGTGTTATGATCTCCTTATTTTAATATTTCTATCTGAATTACAATAATATGGAATGAATTAGTTTTTGTCTTAAATAGACAGTTTATTATGCACAGTATAAATACTAAAAAAATCCACAACAACACTTAGCGATTATTATAACCATCCATTTAAACACGAAGTTTTCCCCCTATGATTAAAATGTCAAGTGTTAGCCAAACTACATAAGCTTCACAGTCAATTTCTATTATTTCTTTTACAATTTCTATACAATTTTTTTAAGGATTGTATTCTATTATACTTTACTCTGCAACTGAGTGGCTACCCTACAAAACCAGCTCAAAGACCCTCCTTATTCCTTAAAAACCCTTTAGGTATTGAAAGACTTGTTTTAAACAACATCCGTCGGCAAAACACAATCCTGCCTGTTTAAGCATTTCTAATCAGCTTTTACAGTTTAAAAGTGCATATTAAATATTCTATTCTATTCGTACAAATCATTCTGAAAATAATTACTTGTTATTTTTATCTTATTTATTTTTTCATTCGTCTAGCAAGCTGTCCTTCTGATTGGTTGCATATAGAATCATCTTGTTATTTCTTCAGTGCAATAAGAGCAACATGGAATAAAGCAAGAAAACTTTGTGAACAGAAGGGAGGAGATCTTGCTGTTCCAAAGAATGAATTTGAGAATGATGCCATTCACTACAACATCTTGAGAAAGGGCGCTAAAGGTTATTTTATTGGTTTGTATCGCAATAAAAGCGATAATCAGTTCTACACAGTTCAAAATGTCAAGCCTAATTTCACGGCATGGGCTGTGAATGAACCTAATAATTCTGGCGGTGTAGAGGACTGCGTTATTCATTATTACTGGAGTTGGCAGGACGTTGGATGTGAGCATCACTTTAACTTCGTCTGTCAACGTGAGAGACGTAGTTTATACCGTGAGTAGCTTCTATAATTATCAATACATTAGGTACTTTACATAAATGTACTATTTTGTTGTAAAATTGGTGCATTCTTTAGTTATTGTTTTCCTGCCAAAAAATGTTAGAACTAGAGAACTCATTCGACCATGTATCAGATTGTTGAGCATTAAAAGCGAATTCTGAACTTTTTGTGCAACTAAGAGTGATTCAATCAATGGCCCAAGCTGAAATGTTAATGGCTTGAAGACAAATTTTTCTCTTGTCGCCAAAAATAGTTTAACATATTCAACTAAAATTAATGTGGTACCAAATTTGGCCAATCTAAAAAATTGCAAGTACAGCTTTTACAACCTAAAAGTGCATATTAAATATTCTATTCTATTCGTACAAATCATTCTAAAAACAATTACTTATTATTGTTGTCTTATTTATTTTTCATTCGTCTAGCAAGCTGTCCTTTTGATTGGGTGCATTTAAAATCAGCTTGTTATTTCTTCAGTGCAAAAGTAGCAACATGGAGTATAGCAAGAAAACTTTGTCAACTAATGGGAGGAGATCTTGCTGTTCCAAAGAATGATGTTGAGAAGTATGCCATTCTCGACTACATCAGACAAAAATACCAGAAAGATTATTTTATTGGTTTGTATCGCAATAAAAACGACAATCAGTTCTACACAGTTCAAAATGGCAAGCCTAATTTCACATCATGGTATCCTGGACAACCTAGTCGCGAAAGATTTGGCATAGAGGACTGCGTTGTATATTATAATTACCTTTGGTTTGACGAAGGATGTTGGCGTCACTATAACTTCATCTGTCAACGTGAGAGACGTGGTTTAAACTGTGAGTAGCTTCTATAATTATCAATACATTAGGTACTCTACATAAATGTACTATTTTGTAGTAAAATGGGTGCATTCTTTGGTTATTGTTTTCCTGCCAAAAAAATGTTAGAAGTAGATAACTCGTTGGACCATGTAGCAGACTGTTGAGCACTAAAAGCGAATTCTGAACTTTTTGTGCAACTAAGAGTAATTCAATCAATGGCCCAAGGTGAAATGTTATTGGCTTTAAGACAAATAATTCTCTTATCGTCAAAAATAGTTTAACATATTCAACCACTCTAAATGTGGTGCCAAATTTGGCCAA